CAGTAGTAAAACACTTCATATTATTGCTCAACGAACTGCATAAAAGTAGCTACAAAGTGGCCAGGAAGTTGAGCTCAGATCAAAGGACCTGACATTACTGAAACTCCTGAAAAAAAGGAACAGCAGCAAAGGAATAAAAAAATAAAAATAAAGAGGATTGTGTGATACCTAAATTCAAAGCAGTCGGTCAATTTATTTGTCTGATTATTTATTTCACATATTTACATGCTGCCACAGTAAAAAAAATGACTCAGTGGTTCATATAAAGAAATGCAATAGAAAGCAAACCCACACACACACACAAAATTAATTAATATATTACCGTATTTTCCGGCGTATAAGACAACTTTTTAACATATGAAAATCTTCTCAAAAGTCGGAGCTCGTCTTATACGCCAGGTGTCGTTCTCCTGTAACCAGGCAGACCAGCCCGAAAGGCTCTAACCAGCCTTAAATGGCTCTGACGAGCCAAGCTCTGACCATCCCAGCTGAGTTGCCTGCTAATCAGGCAACTCAGCTTGGATCGTCAGAGCCATTTAAAATCATTTTTTAAAAAAAGCCATTTAAAATCCCCCCTCCCCAGCTTGCTTACCTTAGCTGCTAGTCGCAACGCTTGCCTTGCTTCACTTGCCTGCAATCCATTGTATCAGCAAGCAACTGAATCTCCCTGCCTGCAATCAAGCAGGCAGGGAGTTGTGGACTTCAACTCCCAGAATTCCTCAGCCAGCAAAGCAAAGCTGGCTGAGGAATTCTGGGAGTTGAAGTCTACAAGTCTTAAAGTTGCCAAGGTTGGAGACCCCTGTTCTATTGGCTAAGTTTTTTTCCCCTTTGGGAGCTTTAAAAAAATAGTTAATTGGGGTTTTTTTTAGTTGTTCTTTTTTTAGACCTAGCCATTTAAAGTTTAGGAAGTTTTAAATTTAGCTGCTTTCATATAAAAATAAAAATAAAATAAAATAAAATAAAATATTTGTGCAGTTTTCTGAGATTTAGTGTGTTTCTGTAGTGTTTCACTCTAACTACACAAACACACAAAATCTCACAAAGTTGTATGTGGAATTTTGTGTGTGTAAAGTGTGAAAGTTGGTTTTTTGGGCTTTTTGTGGCTGTGTGAGCATTTTAGATCTAGCACAGCTGCTTTTACATTGTGGGTAAACCAGTTGTGTTATGTTGTGTGTGTGTAAAGTACCAGGGACTTGCCCAGCACTTGTTCTCTCTCTATTGTTTGTTATCTTCCTCCTATCATCATCAGTTCCAGTTTGGTTGACAGTTTAGAAAACAAACAGCATGGCAGCTCTCACTTTAGAGTGAATTAGGAAAAGTTTAATCCAATTGCACTGTTTTATGTTTACATGTTTGATGACAAACAGCCTTATGTTTATAAGTGACAGTTTTTCTGCTAAGTCATAAGCATTTGAATTAAAATTACCATATTGAAATCAAATCTGATGTTTTTTAATTTTTATTTGGTGTGCATTGGAAGAGGGGTAGTCTTATACGGCGAGTATAGCCCAAACCCTATATTTTAACAGGAAAAGTCGGGGGTCATCTTATACGCCCAGTCGTCTTATACGCGGAAAATACGGTATATATATTATAAAATAATAATAAATATTATAAAAATTGAAAATACAGCAACACTACAGAAATTGAAAAAGTATAATAGCTGGTAACAATGATTCAAATAAGGGGGAAACTCTCCAAAAAGACTTTCAGTCCTCACAAGTTTGCAGAAAAGTAACAAAGATGAAATTAGGTAAATTGAAAAGGTACAATACCTTTACTAATAAATATAGGCTGGGGCCAGATAGCTCTCCCTTCCTACTCTCTATATCCATACACTAAAAACTCCATAAACTTATCAACTTCTATGTTTTAAATCTGCAAAAACCCTAAATTCTAAAAATTCACAATTTCAGAAGAAAGGGTTGTTCTGCACAGAAATCTTATCAAAATAAGAAAAGAGATGGCAAAATGCTGTTAGATGCCATAGATACCAGCCAAGTATTAACATGACTGAAATTAATAGGGATACTTTGCAGTCAATCATGCTGCCAACTATAAAAGATAAGTGAGAAGTTGCAAAACATGGCTTACAGGAAAAGAACACCCAAGAATTCTGAAGGAGCAGGCAAGGGCAAAAGAATAGCTGAATTAAGGCAGCAAAAATGTACTTGAAATATAATTAAGGATTAAAAATACAGTTTATAGTTGATCTGCACTATGACAGGCTAGGGACCATTCAGCTAAGCCAATCTCAGACTGAAAATATTAGCATTTTTTGTTTCTATGATCCTAGGTTTTTTTTATTTCTAAAAAAAGGGGAAATGATGTTGTACAGAGAACGAGCATCACCATGGTTCTTCTGTCAGAGTATCCCTGGTTCAATGAGAAAAATGTGTTACCACAAGAAATCAGAGCCTTTTCAAAGAAAAGAGAGTAATTATAATAAAGTTACAAAAAAAATTCCTTAAGGGTTAAGCTCATAACAAAAGTATGTAAGATGCAGAAAATAATATATCCTCAAGGATTTTTTTCCTAAAACTATTTTGCCAGTTCTTGCAATTAGCAGAAATCTGATAAAAGCCAAATTTGCTCATACCAGAGCTCTGGTTATATACGCCATAATCTTAGAAGCTGAATTTGAAATGTGGTAAATGTGATTTATTTTGGCATACAGATTAATGACCAATGTGTATATGCCTTAGCCAAACTGTAGATAGCAGTCACAGTTGTCCCAAGGGCCAACTGGGAGAAGAAAGTAAACTCCAGATTTTCACTTACTTAAAGCAAGTTGACCACTATATTCTGGCAGGCATTTTCTTCCCAGCCTTCGACCATCAGAGATGAGTGAGGATTATTCCAAAGTTCTGAGCAATCTTTATCTGCACTCCAACTAAAAGATTAGGACGAAGAAGAAAAAAGGTTGGGCAACTTGTTGTTGAGGTAAGCAGAGTATCCATGAATAAAGAGGACCACTTAGGTAACCTTAGTCCTACTATTTATTATTTCTTACTATTTCCTGAAGATTAATGCAATAACAGAGTACTTTTTTTGAATAGCACAAGTATTTTTGATGAGGCACATTATATTAGATATATACACTACTGTAATTGTTCTCATAGAAGCTGTTCAGATATTGAACATTATTTTTTATTACTTATTTAGTTTAATGACAATATAAAGCACAGAGACTACTATTTTCTATAGCCAAATACATACACAAATTTGTTTTTTTGAGGTCAGTATCTGTTTCTTAATATCTGCATCAATGGTGGGTTGCCTGCGGTTCGTACCGGTTTGCAAGAACCGGTAGTAAAACTGGCGGGAGACCCTGTCCACCGCCTCGGATGTCGTCATCAGTGATCTGTGTATGCGCAGAAGCAAGGCACGCGTGAGCAAAGCAAGGGTGCTTGCACAATCATGTTGCGAACCGGTGGCAAAGGTAAGTAGAACCCACCCCATACCCTAGATCACTCTTCTTCTAGCCAGTTGTTCCTCGAACATCTTGAAAAAACTACCAAAAATCCCAACTAGTTGGGAACTGATTTCTAACTTATGTAAAAGACAACAAGTTGGGGAAATCTACCCTAGGCTACAATTACAATATATAAGTACTGACATGTATTTACTGATAAGTACTGACATGTCAACTCAGTCCCAACTTCCAGCAGATATGGCACAGAAGAAATACAGAATGTATTTTTTTCCAATCTATATACTTGCAGGCTAATAAATAAAAGCAATATGAACGTAACTACATCTTCCCATTCTTATTTTGATAAACCTTGAAGCAAATTGATTAATAAATGTTTCCACAATAAATGTTTATGTATCATGACTGGGGCCAATGTCTTTCTTATTATATCTAGTCATCTAAGCTTCATCAGTGCCACAATCTTCCTGGATACTATCCAAGTACCTGACGGGTCTTGTACTCTCAACTCTAAGCATCAATTTCTTTTAATTCCTAGTGTACAGTTGCTATTGCTTCCTAATGTAAATAAATTGCTTGAAGTTTGTTTCATAAAAAATAAAAGTTTTCATTTCTTGATAACTAACTTGACCTCAGTCATCTTATTCAAGTTTTCATTTTTCAAATTATAATAAAGCAAGCTTCCAGACATGGGGAAATTTCAAAAAGTCCCTTGTAATATCTTTTCCATCCAGTTCATCACATTACCTTTCCATAATTATGCTCATTTTAGAGATGTTTGAAGAGTCCCAGAAGAGAAAGAATGCATGAATGTCCCTGGTAGTTTAGATCAAAAGCATTTTTTTTTTAAAAAAAAAAAGTTCTTTCTTGTTAATCATTTGCCAAATACAATTCAGAGCTACACATTCAAAACAAAACCACATACTACATTTGTGTAGGACTTTACTGGATTGTGATAAAGGGCAAATGAATTAGATTGCTGATTAACTTTACTCTGAAGCTTTAAAAGTTCCTCAACATGAAAAGTAAACAGTTACCTGTATGTCTTATTTTAAGACATTTTAAGAAGAAATAATTTGAGCTGACAAAAATCCATCTGGTATATCATTCTAACATTCATTTATTGAATTTATATTGTTGCTCATCTCACTCTGCAAACTGCTAAATTATTTTGGATTCTAATTAATAGAATTATAATAAAGAAAACAATCACCTTTTCCTCTGCATCAGATATAATTTTACTGCAATGGTATGTGGAAATGACCTGGGAGATTTGGCCCAGAGTTGCAAGCTACTATGTATAAACAGATAGCAAACCCCTTTTAGCACTGAAGATATTACCTAGATGGGTAATGAAATGTCTGCAATAAAACAATCAAACTCAGAAAGCATCAAGGACTCCATTATGCTATCTCTTATCTGACCATTCCCTAGGCAGCATCTCTAGACCTTCAGTCTCTGAAGATCATCTCCACATAATATTACAGATAAAATTATACCCGATAGCCAGATAATGAAACATCTGTACAATCAAGCTCAGAGAGCACTAAGGACTCCACAGTTCAACTTTGAGTTACAAATATTCTTTTTTATTGAAACAACATAATCCAAACTGGAGAGAAGTCAGACAGAAGGCTTATAAGAGATCCTTCCTAATTTCTCAAGGATAAAGGGGATGGGAGAAGAAATGTACTTTCCAGACTTGTAAGAATCTGTTAATGTAACATCGAATAGAATTAGCTGATCTGATGGTGTTTCCTCTCTGGTCTACTTGGTAAAGTTAACATTTATGTATCTCTGTATATATACTTCCTTACCTTTGTTCTAAACTAAAGAAACCACTAACTGTGCTTATGTCAGATGGAATTGTTCCACCCTCGTTATTATTTAATCTCTGCACCTTTTTCAAGTCTATGATTTTTTATAAGCTTGTAATACAACATAGGAATCTATGTGTGGTTACATTATACATTATATTAAAACATTATGATATTGGCAACTCATTTGATACTCCTTTCTTGATAATTTTCAATGTGGAATTTGCCTTTTGACAGTAGTTGCATAATAAGGTGGCATTTTCCTTGCCCAAACATTTGTAATTTCACAATCCATCAACGACTGCTAGCTGAGATCTTAGCAACACAAATATGAGATGAATTTTCTTTGGTCTAACGAGCACAACTTCAAGACTTGCTTAGACTGATTCATATTTGCTAGTTTAATTCCTCTAGTTGGAGAATATTTTGGAGCCATCATAGCTTGCTATTATCAGGTAAAATCTTGGAAGATCAACTCAACTCCTGCTGACAAAGGAGGACTTGTTTTCTGCAACAAATAGAAATGGATTGTTATTGCCATCTTCAAAGTTGTTTTCTTGACTTCCCAGCCTAGTGTACAACAATGACTTCCTGATTGCCCCCCGCCCCTTTCAAATATTAATCAGATTCAACTATGTTTAATGTTTTCAAGATTGGTAACTTTTTCTGCTGCTTAATTCTAGGTAATTTATGCAGAATGTTAAAATCATGATTCCCAATAAAAGTATCTATAGAAATTTACTGCTAACATATTTCCATTGCAAGATCTGTCCATTTAGTGAGATTCTCTGCTTCCCCATCTTTAACCAATCACTATTTTCATTAAAATGATGCAACCCATTTTCCCCAGATTAATTTCTCAACTATCAAGTTACATTCCCTGAAATATAAGATATATTGATTATCAACAAGCTTCTAATATATTTGCATGAGATGTAGAATATCAACATGGAACAGAGTAATAACCAGTAGGGTCTGTGAGAGAGATGCAATTATAAATGCACAGTGCAATAACTGTACAGCTGGGTTTATACTCTGTTCTTAAAGCAACTGTAGAGTCCTCTATTCATTTTCAAATTTCTCAATCGTTGAAAACACTGAAATCAAGGATCTCTCAACTAAAGCAATGTTAATAACATCAAGGATTAAGTTGTCCAAATTGGTCTATTCAATGTACAAGATAAACTTGCTTTAAGCAGTTACTGTATTACACTAGGAATCTTGTCATCTGATACCAGTCTTCTGGCTAGTTAATACTAGACTGAAGAGATTTAGACTATGCATGAGTCATCTAATATCAACCCTTCTTAGGCAAAAGGAACACCAGATAAATGATATTTATACTTGCTGTGGTTGTTTTTCATGAGAAAAGACCTGATTTAATTCAAGAATATGCAAGTATTAGCAAAATTTTGTATAATATATCTATGTATGGTTTTTGACTGAATTGTTTTTCTTTAAATTAATATTCATAAAATAAATTATTCACAAACATTTATGATTACAAGGAAAGTATTCATGTGCTACTATAGCAATAGTTGCCATAAAAAGTGGCAAGAATAAGACCTTAGATAGGAATCAAATTGTGGCTGAATTCTTTTCCTAATGATAAGTTGAAAATTCTTATTTATTTTATCTTATTTATTGTAAGAAAATACTTACAAAATTGTGTACAAATTCTGATCCTTACGATGCTCATGGTGTGAATCTATTTTGCATCAATAAAAACTGAGCTCACTATCATGAACTACAATCTGATGAACAATTATACAAAATAAGAAATTTTAAAAACAAGTTCTGACAAATAAAATACCTAACATAATTATTATGCAGTTCAAGGCCTAAAATTAAAAGCAACTCAAAGAAATGCTGTGTTGGAAAGTTCATTGTTCTTTCCTTCACCTTGCAGCATATGTATGCATGCATACAAATACATGCACACACACAAACACAGACAGATACACAAAGTTAAAAATGAAAAGCTTTCTGCAAAAACAGGGAATTTCATATGGTATTCAAATTTGGGGATTATACATATTTGATGCAGAAAGGAACAACATTTTTGTGCTCTAGAGAAAAAAATTAAATATACTTAAAACTTTTGTAACTTTTGGCTGAAATATATCTAGTGCATTTAAGCAGAGACTTATCTGCATCCATTCATGTACATTTTAGTTTGGATAACAGTAGAAGGTGGAAAGTTTATTAAGTCTGATTCAGGAGCATATACTATGGATTTCTAAAATCTGAAATTCATATTTATGGTCTGCTTTATTAATTATTTTACTTTCAGTATTTGGACAGAATGATTCTCGGAAACTAGCTCATCTTAACATTGGTTGCACTATTCTGCAGTCACATGACTATGATTTGTGATGGTTTCTGACAAAAAAAACTCTCAGAAGAATGGGTTCGCTTAATGACTGTGTCATTCACTTAACAACTGTTGTGAAAAAAGTAAAATAAAAAAAAAGGTCCAGTTACATGGGTGCCTTGACTTATGACTGCAATGACTTAAAATTGGATTTTTGGTCCCAATTGTGGTCAATAATCCAGAACTATTTGTAATAGAAAGAGGACGAATGTAATAGAGATAATTGATCGGTTGTCATGTGCTGAATATTTTATTCTATGCAAAGAACTGTAGGTTTCAAATGATTTGTGGCAACCAAACCACACATGTTCCAAACATTTTGGTCAAGATTCTATCTGGAAAAGAGCTGCTTAATTTCAAATATGGTTGAAAATGCAGACAATAGACATCAAATGCAGACCATTTGATTTTAGATTTTACTATAGGAATTATTCTTGTCTCAACAATTAGGGTTTAAAAATCTGCAATCTGCTCCAGTACAATAGAAAGGCTAAAACATATTTCAAAATTATTGGCAAAGACCACATTAGAGGGAGTCTAAGAGAAATATTGGAGTGATGGGAAGTTGAGCATCTGACTCTGTAAGTGAGCCATTCTTGGCGGTGGAGGGCAAACCTGTTATTGGAAAAAAAGATTGAAGACTGGTGATCCATTTAGAGGAAAAGAATTGTGAAGATCATTAACTCAGTGTTGGACTGGTGCTTCTGCTGGAGGGGCAGAGACTAGTAAAATGGATTAAATTATACGCCAAAAATTATGAACTGGTGTCATTTAGGTTATTGTGGATAGAGGAAAATAGAAATCTCTTAGTGACAGTTGCATGTCACATTCCAGAAAACATGTTTTTTTGGGGAGGAGGGGAGGGAATTGCAACATTCTGAATAAATATAATCCAATTTTTTTTTTAAAAAATTAGATTTGACATTAAGGGATGAGCAAATAGGGATAAAGGACACACGATAATAAATGAGAATGATCATTGGGGCATGAGTGTCTTCAAAAATGTCTGTTTCTTTCAAGTACATGGTTTAAATACAGGATATTTATATGTACTATACATACAACAGTGTTGAATATGAGCCTAAAAGCATGATTGATCTGCTGACTTGTGATGAAAGATGAAGAGAATCAGTGAAAGATTCAAGGGTGATAAGAATTTTGGATCTGGGACATACCAGGAGATGATGACAGAAACGTATTGCATAATGTTTACAGAAAAGGAAAAGACTGTAAAGATTTAAGCGAAGCATACAATAAAATGAATACTTTTGAATTATGTAATGTTTTGTATGAATGTGTAGTTATTATTAGTATTATTATATTTATTTGCTGCCTACCTTGCCATGGGGCTACTCCAGGTGACTTGCAACAAAAAACAAAAACAAAGAAATAAAAAGGAAGTTTAAGCAAAACAAAATAATGGAACAATAAAACAAACAAGGAGAAAGAAAACAAAGAAAAAACATTGATAAAAATGTAAACATAAAAATGTAAAAAAAAAAAAGAAAAAGATGGGTGAGTGGGGAACAGAGACCGAAGGAAGGGAAGTAGAGTCTGCTTTCAATTTATCAGCTACCTCCAGAGTAGAATTTCCCCCATTGGGTCAAATTGGTAGTTGAAGATTGGTTGCTAAATGCAAGAAGAAAACACATGATAATAAATAGAAAACTTAATGAGAGACTCTACACTGAGCAAGGTAAGATTGTATGACATTTCCATAGTGCATATATTTATCCATAAATGAAAGCATGCCTGTGCTGACATCAGGGGTGTGTTGACTGGGGACAGGAAAGTACATGCACTTTCGTATGCAGATGATATCATGTTGCTGGCTAGAAACCTGCATGATTTGTAGCAAACACCAGAAGGTGTCATACTATGAATATGGATGTGTAAATCAATGTACTAAAAAAATTGCCTGACACACACACACAAAAAAAATCTGCAAACAATGGTAGAAAAATAGGGGGTGGTTTGTAATCTGTTCTGAGATGTGAATGTCAACAAATAACACAAATAGCTGAACATTATGAAGTACAAATCATTGAATTTAAGTAAAAATAGCTATTTCAATCAGATCAGAGGCCATTCTACCAAACTATAAATGGGAATAGAAGTTCTGAAAATGGAAAATCAAACAAAAAGGAAACAATCCAATTTTGGAAAGGTCTATGAGAAACTCAAAAAAACTATAATAAAATGCTGTACAGATAAAAGAATTTGAAGATGAATTTAGTAAAAAATCAAATGGAATTAATAATAACAACAGAAATAGTTAAAATGGAGTGAAAAGGAATTAAAAACTGGACATTTCCTGGAAATCATCAATTGTGTGGCTTGGGTTCAAATATCTGACTAGTTTACATCCAATTGTAGCTATAGATTATATCTGCTCCGCAAAAATGGAAGAAAAGATCTACTTCAAGTCAAAAACTGTCAAAGACAGATTGGCTGATGACATAAAAGACAGCCAAGAACAAGCATTGATACAAGTTAAAAATTGGGATTTATTGAATGTACAGGAAATGAAACATGAATATCGAAACAACATAATAAAAACATGGACAGAATGCTGGCAAGAAAAAGTATCACATGGTCAATTTCTATAAAAGACTAAGGGGAAAGTGGATAAAGATAATCTGGCAAAGGCTTACAACTGGAACATTAAAAAAAGAAACTAAAGCCTTGATTTTGGCTTAAGAACAAACTGTTCAAATTAATGCAATCAAGGCCAGAATTGAGAACTTATCAACTGATTCAAAGTGCAGATTGTGCAAAGGAATGGAAGATACAGTAGACAATACATTAGGCTCAAGCAAGGAGATCACAAATTGAATATAACCGTGATGGCGAACCTATGGCACGCGTGCCAGAGGTGGCATGCAGAGCCCTCTCTGCGGGCATGCGAGCCGTTGCCGAACTTAGCTCCATGCCCATGCACCTCCTGCCGGCCAGCTGATTTTCAGGATGTGTAGGGGACAGGGTGTATGCAGGAGACGCATGCGATGCGGGAAGGGGCAGGGGTCATGCGCGCATGCGCGGGGAGGTGTGAGCATGGCATCAGCCCCCCATGGCCCATTTTTGGGCCCAGGAGGCTCCCAGGAGTCTCCACGTAGCCTGTTATGGATGCTAGG